CTCAGTTTCTGTTGCAGTTTCTTGCTCCATTGGCTCGGGCATGGTTTCAGCTGGCATTACCTCTGGCTCCTCCTTGGTCTCTACTTTAGGCTCCTCAACAGCAGCAGCTGCCTCCATGGGCATGTCTGATTCATCAGTGGACAAGCGTTTATCGGCCTCTTCTTTGAGTTTTGACTGTGGCTCTAGCTCTTCCTTTTTCTTTTCCTCTTTATTTTGCTTATGCTCTCCCTCTCCCTCTTGCTTTGCCGCTTTCTCTTTCTTTTTGGTGGCGCGTTTTGTTTCTTCTTTTGACTCCTTCACGAGTTTTGCCTGCTTCTCCTGACCAGCGGGATCAGACTGGGCACGCTTCATGCGTCCCGGATACGATTTGCGTCCAGTATGCTCACCACCCGAAGTGTTGTTGTTGTTATTGTTGTGGTTCGGTTCGTGCTCACAGCTGTGACATTGCCACTGGCGCTCACTGAGATCGGAGCCGCTCAATGGCGGATCATGGCAATCGCGATGAAACGAATAAACGCAAGTTGAGCAAATGGCCAAGTCTGTTCCCTTGGCGCCACAAATGCTGCAATTGCGGCACGAGGGGCATTTGTACTTCTTGCGAGCAACCGAGAGGACATCAAAACTGATGGACATGCACGAGAAATGCCCTGAAAAATGCATAACAAGAAACGTGTGTGTGTGTGTGTGTGAGGGTGTGTGTAGGGTACGGTGTGTTGCGACTGTAACTTACATTTGTGCAGGCAGCTCTTGCAACCAAGAAAATTACTTTTGTATCCAGAGCCACGCTTTACTTCCATCTGTTTGCATTTCTGACATATATCATACTGACGCTGCGGCTGGGCGCCTGACTCAGCATCTTGGGCATCAGCATTGGCAACTGAATCTGGCTTGGTTGCAGCCACCGCCACAGGCGATGTAACACGCACTGGGGCCGCTGCTGTGGCGGTCGCGGCCGGTGCCGGCATTGGCGCCGTCTGTGCAGTGGCGTTTGCTGGCGTTGTGTTGCGGTTTCGTACATAGTTGTAGGATGGATCGTACACTTCTTTGATCTTCTATTAGTTACGGCGGGCAAGTGAAATGAATGAATATTCAGTACCGGGAGGTATTTGGTAAATCGGCGGGAAATTGTAACTTACCTTGAGGCGTCCTGTAGTGCGAGTTGCTGTGGTTGTTGTGGCGGTGCTTGTCGTTGCAGCAGTATCGTTGATGTTGCTGCCGGCGCTCGAATTCAACGTGCCGTTGGCACTGGTGGACTCGTCTTTGTCCTCCTCCTTTGCATGCATCATTTTGACCGGCAAATTGCTTTACAAGTCGGCAGGCTTTACGAAAATGTTGTTACTTGCGCGCTCGTTTGCTTAATGTGACCGTTTCTGTTGAAGCAAATTACGTGTTGGAATTTCTGCTGATGGCTTCACATAAAAATCCAAAAAATGTATTTAAAGTGTTACCATTCATGGTTATATGGGAGTCTTTCTGTTGCTTTCTGCTCATTAGCTTGATTAACTTTTTATACTTGGTACTCGAAGAGTACATAGGTAATGTTGTATTTGTGCACAAAGTATGTAACGTACAGAAGGAAACGTTTCCGACCCCATAAAGGAAATACATTCTTGATCAGCATCAATAACCGAGTATATATCTGTCTGTCCGTCTTGTTTACCGCCACCAAATTTTGCATTCATATTTAAAATATGAGCCCCGCTCCCGCAAAAGGGCGAAAACCTCCCAAAGCTACAATTTTGAAGATAAGAGAATCCGATTGGGATCCGATTGGATCATATTATAGCCACAATGAAGAAATTAATTTCCGCTGGCCAAACCCACCGTGTCCAGCAGCTTTTGATGTTTTTTTCACATTCTTTCATTCACACTCTGCTTCGTGTAGTCAACGGCCTATGCCTCTGCAGACTGTTTCTAGGGGAGGGGGCGAGCTAACGGAGCGTGTTGGCGTGAGAAGTGATGTAGATGTAAATGTTGATGAAAGATGTAGAAAAAATGTAAAATTTAAAATTGACCGTTAAAGTACAGATGTTCCACTGAGTACCGGGTATAAAAGTTGTGACGCGTAAGAAGAGTCTCACACGCCCCTTCTCGTTTTGTTTGAATTTAAAATAAACAACAAAAACAACTCAAGAAAATCGTTTTTTTTCCTTTCTCTTCTTTCCTATCTTTCTTTATTTCTTTGAACGATCTTCGGTGCAAGTATTCTATGGGTTTTGGGTGTAGGTGTGTGTGTGTGTGGGTGTGTGTAAATCATAAATGTTTGTTCCTATTTTTTGTTTAACCATTCTGTTGTACATCTTTTTTTTTTATCTTTCTTTCTATTATTTATCTTGTTTTTTAGATTTTTTTAACATTTCTTTTCTTTTTTTGAATATCAATTTCAATTAAAATTGCTTTAGGATTCGTTTTAAAATTGTTTTCAGAATTCGCGGAGTGTGTTACATTTTTTCTTCTTTATGATTTCCAAATCTTTTCTCAAATTACAATTTAAATTAGTTCTTTAGTTTTTTTTTTGTTTTTCTGAAGACTTCTCCTGCTTTTAGTACAGTTCATTTTTAATTATTCTTTCTTTATGTTTCTTTAGTTTTCGCAACTGCTTAAGAGCCAAATTTTGTTGAATTCTGTGCAGTGTACATTTTCTTTTCTTGTTTCTATTTAAATTTAAATTACGAACATTTTAAACATTTTTTAGAATTTCTCAAATTAAATTTAGAAATTTTTTAGCTACCAAAAGAGGTTTGCCGATTTCGTTCGCTTTTTGTTTATTTTTCGCAATTGCTAAAGAGCCAAATTTTGTTGAATTTCCGAATTTCTGTCGAGTGTACAACATTCTTTTCTGAGAATTATTTATACATTTTTAAGGATTTCTCTTCTCTTTCTTCGCTATTTTGTGTAGTTTTCGCAACTTCTAAGACCCAAATTTTGTTGAATTCTGTCAAACATCTTTAAGTACCAAAAAAATTACTAAATCGCGCACTAAAGTTACTTAGACTTGAGAGTTACTTATACATTTTAAAGGATTTCTTCAAGTATTTTAGGTACCTAAAGAGGTTTGCCGTTTTCATTATATTAAATTTAAAATTATTCTTATTTTAAGGCTTATTTTTTATGCAAGTTCGTAACTTTAAAAGCGGAAAACTGTACCAATTCGTTTAAATTTGAGCGTTCCTTTAGTGTTCGCTGTTCTTAATTTTAATTTGAGAGTTGCTGGTACGATTATTATTTATACATATTTTGATTTTGAGTGCTAAAGAGCTTTACATTTAAATTGAAGTGCCTTTCATGTACATTTTTCTGAAGCGGTCTGAAGCATTTTCTGAACTTATTTTTAAATGAATTTTCCAGCAACGATGTCGGGAAATTTGTCTACTTCTGACTAGAGAAAGACCGCGCGTGTGTGTCTGTCTAAATTATGTTTCGAAATTCGTTTTCGATCACAAACATTTTGAGTGTCTTTTTTTTCAAACTAAAAAATAAAAACTTATACTAATGGTTTCTAGTTTACTACGATTTTTTCGACGTCGGAGTATTCGCGTTACTTTGTAGTTAAGGTTCGAAAAACAACAAACAAAAAAATATCTAACTTAAGTCTGTAAATGTATCCTTAGGGAAGCTGCTAAAAACTAAGTGGATGACCAGCCTAGCGATACAATGTTGTTGCGCATTTGTAGGCCAAGTATGACCTGAAATACGCGCAGTGCTTGGCCAAGTTTAAAGCCAAAACATCGTATCATATCCTCGCGCGTAAGCATCAACAGTGCTTCACCATCCATGTCCTGTCTGTTGAGTTCTTGTGCCTCCTCCGGATAGAAACGTGACACATATGCGGTAACCTGTTCGGTAGTCCAGTTGCTCACGGGATTCGACGAAGTCACCGGTACGTCGTCAGCAGGTAATCGTACCAGTAGCGGTGGCGGTGGTGGCTCATAATCATCGCTGCCATTTGGCACCGCTGCCGCTTCCAATGGCTGCGGATCCATGTCCATGCCGAGCGGCATTTGTTCCACCAGCTGTGGAGAAGCAGGAGCAGCAGCAGCAGCTTCTGCTGCCACAGATTTATGCTCAGTTTCTGTTGCAGTTTCTTGCTCCATTGGCTCGGGCATGGTTTCAGCTGGCATTACCTCTGGCTCCTCCTTGGTCTCTACTTTAGGCTCCTCAACAGCAGCAGCTGCCTCCATGGGCATGTCTGATTCATCAGTGGACAAGCGTTTATCGGCCTCTTCTTTGAGCTCTGACTGTGGCTCTAGCTCTAGCTCTTCCTTTTCCTTTTTCTTTTCCTCTTTCTTTTGCTTATGCTCTCCCTCTCCCTCTTGCTTTGCCGCTTTCTCTTTCTTTTTGGTGGCGCGTTTTGTTTCTTCTTTTGACTCCTTCACGAGTTTTGCCTGCTTCTCCTGACCAGCGGGATCAGACTGGGCACGCTTCATGCGTCCCGGATACGATTTGCGTCCAGTATGCTCACCACCCGAAGTGTTGTTGTTGTTATTGTTGTGGTTCGGTTCGTGCTCACAGCTGTGACATTGCCACTGGCGCTCACTGAGATCGGAGCCGCTCAATGGCGGATCATGGCAATCGCGATGAAACGAATAAACGCAAGTTGAGCAAATGGCCAAGTCTGTTCCCTTGGCGCCACAAATGCTGCAATTGCGGCACGAGGGGCATTTGTACTTCTTGCGAGCAACCGAGAGGACATCAAAACTGATGGACATGCACGAGAAATGCCCTGAAAAATGCATAACAAGAAACGTGTGTGTGTGTGGGTGTGTGTAGGGTACGGTGTGTTGCGACTGTAACTTACATTTGTGCAGGCAGCTCTTGCAACCAAGAAAATTACTTTTGTGTCCAGAGCCACGCTTTACTTCCATCTGTTTGCATTTCTGACATATATCATACTGACGCTGCGGCTGGGCGCCTGACTCAGCATCTTGGGCATCAGCATTGGCAACTGAATCTGGCTTGGTTGCAGCCACCGCCACAGGCGATGTAACACGCACTGGGACCGCTGCTGTGGCGGTCGCGGCCGGTGCCGGCATTGGCGCCGTCTGTGCTGTGGCGTTTGCTGGCGTTGTGTTGCGGTATCGAACATAGTTGTAGGATGGATCGTACACTTGTTTGGGCTTCTATTAGTTGCGGCGGGCAAGTGAAATGAATGAATATTCAGTACCAGGAGGTATTTGGTAAATCGGGGGGAAATTGTAACTTACCTTGAGGCGTCCTGTAGTGCGAGTTGCTATGGTTGTTGTGGCGGTGCTTGTCGTTGCAGCAGTATCGTTGATGTTGCTGCCGGCGCTCGAATTCAACGTGCCGTTGGCACTGGTGGACTCGTCTTTGTCCTCCTCCTTTGCATGCATCATTTTGACCGGAAAATTGCTTTACAAGTCGGCAGGCTTTACGAAAATGTTGTTACTTGCGCGCTCGTTTGCTTAATGTGACCGTTTCTGTTGAAGCAAATTACGTGTTGGAATTTCTGCTGATGGCTTCACATAAAAATCCAAGAAATGTATTTAAAGTGTTACCATTCATGGTTATATGGGAGTCTTTCTGTTGCTTTCTGCTCATTAGCTTGATTAACTTTTTATACTTGGTACTCGAAGAGTACATAGGTAATGTTGTATTTGTGCACAAAGTATGTAACGTACAGAAGGAAACGTTTCCGACCCCATAAAGTATATACATTCTTGATCTTGATATACAAGCTAGAGCCGGAAAATTTTGCATCCAGACTTCTGTTTGCTCACACTGTTACAAGTGTATTTAAAAAATGAGCCCTGCCCACGTCCCTTCTTGTTCATATTTAATATTCATATTTTTATGGTTTTCCTCATTATTATTAGTTTATTATGTAAGATAAAGATAAGATAGTTTAGCCAGTTGAAGATTAAGTAATCTGCTGGCGAATAAATAAATAATATTCAACCCCGGCCTTCCTTCGGAGAAACTCTTTTGACAAATTGCATTGATTCTGGTTTATTGAATGCCTCTGAAGCCATTCACTGTCCCCACTGGCCATTAAATGCCGACGAACACAAATGAAATAATCCCAAATCCCCCAAATTTATGCCAGAGTATATGCAAGAAATGTAATTTAATTTTTACAAATATTTGACATTTAATTCCAAGTTGACAATGATGTAAAAAGTAATTGCAAGATTTTGTTGCCACTGCCTTCCTTTTTCCCTGACTGTTGCCTGTGCACCCAAGTGTCTAACATTCTGTATTCTGGTGATTGGTGTTTAATTAGCCAAATGCCGGAAATGCGTTCTGCATTTTTCCCTTGTTCATTAGCTGCGATCCGACACCAAGACGAGTGCCTACTCCTGTGGCTAGATCTAGTTGAAATGGTAAGTGTCTGTGGCATAATATTATGCCCATGAGTGTAACAGTGGCAGTACTCAGTACTTCCTTATATAAAAACACAAAACTTTCCCCGTCTAGGTAGGCTCTGACTTGGGAGTTTGTTAGGGTCGAAGGCAAAGCCAGGATTTAGTTCATTCCAATTGTGTAACTCGTAGGGAACGGTCCTAAATATTATTTTTTTTTGCTTTGTATAATAATTTTTGTGTGAATCAGTAACTTTTAATATTTGATTTTGTTTCAAAATATCACGATTCAAACTAACTTTGATCCACACGTTTAGCTTTTCGCTTGTCATTGGATTAATTTTCATTTGAGTCGTAAAGCAAAACATCAAGATGGGCAAAAAGAGCAATAAGATTGTGAAAAATAAAGCTAGTCGAGGGCAAGACGGGGACATTGAAGTGGCCGAGCCAGTGGCAGCCCAAAGGTAAGGGAAACAAATATAAAACAAATTCCGGGACCATTTTCAAACAAAATGGAACATTCCAGCAGCACAGAGGAGTTAGAACACCGCAATAAATCTGAGGCCAATTTCTACTGCGACTACGTGGCACGGCAAAATGGAAGCCAGAACCAAGAAAATTGCGCAGAGGGGGAGAAAATGTATTGTTGGTAAGTAAATTTGAAGAATATAGTTGCAAATTCTCCTATTCCATGGGTCGTAAAATGATCCACAACTTTCTTGGGTGTGAAATTAAATTGTACACTACAAAAGCTACATGTGACAATAATATTTTTGTCTAGATCGGAAAGAAATTTTAATAGGAATAGAGAACCATGCCAAACTTTTTCTGCACTTAATTTGATTGATAATTCGCGGTGTATCGAGGGGATGCATAGAACATTTCTTAAAGATCCTTTCTTTCTATTTTACAGCTCTTTTCATGCCAAATTGTTACAGCAACGCAGCAAGGAGCCATCGGCCCCCTATCCCTTAACCAGCAATCCCATCTGGATGAGAGTTATGGGCCCCATGCCACCCACCATTTCCACGCCAGGGTTCGATATCAATGTTAAAATTCGGGACAAGAAGAAGTCCGGTGGGGCTGTCGAGGTGCCTGAGATCTTTGATACATATGCATATGGCGAGGAACTCAAGAGAAGGGGCTTTATATCAAAGATTCAGTTGCCCGACTTTCGCAAGATGATGCCACGTGGCTACCATGGGGCGACGATGGATATAGATAGCCCTATGCCAGACGCATAGAGAGAAGATGCTCTGACTGTCGTTGTGCCGCCTGAAGTGGAACAAGCCAATGCCCTGCAGAATGAAATGCCGGGGACATCCCATTTGTGACAGGAAAACAAGAAAACAAAAAAGAAAACGCACACCAAGTCCACCAAAATGTCCCGCAAAAACTAAATTTTGAAAGAAAAAATACACACAAAATAACACAGATAAATACAAATACAAGCAGCAGAAACCGATACAGATACAGATACAGATAGAAATATAAATAAAACCATTCAAATTATATATTCTACGAGTCTATGATATGGGATAGAGATCCAGGAGCAAAGATGTGCCACAAACAAATCGTAGGAGGGTGAGGGCACTTGTACGCCTCTTTGCTATGAGCAACCCGATCCCGTTGTATTACATTGGGCATTCCTCTTCGACACAACAGCAACAACAAGAACAACCCGGCGCTTGATCTTCAGTGAAGCACTCTCTTCAGCACCACAATTTAAGACATTCAGCACCTCTTCGTTGTTGGCGACTTCAATCTGGACTCGCTAATATGGACTGGCGATCCACAGCGGCCTCTGCCTCTGCAGCCTGTCTCTCTCTGAGAAGTGATGTAGATGTAAATGTTGATGAAAGATGTAGAAAAAATGTAAAATTTAAAATTGACCGTTAAAGTACAGATGTTCCACTGAGTACCGGGTATAAAAGTTGTGACGCGTAAGAAGAGTCTCACACGCCCCTTCTCGTTTTGTTTGAATTTAAAATAAACAACAAAAACAACTCAAGAAAATCGTTTTTTTTCCTTTCTCTTCTTTCCTATCTTTCTTTATTTCTTTGAACGATCTTCGGTGCAAGTATTCTATGGGTTTTGGGTGTAGGTGTGTGTGTGTGTGGGTGTGTGTAAATCATAAATGTTTGTTCCTATTTTTTGTTTAACCATTCTGTTGTACATCTTTTTTTTTTATCTTTCTTTCTATTATTTATCTTGTTTTTTAGATTTTTTTAACATTTCTTTTCTTTTTTTGAATATCAATTTCAATTAAAATTGCTTTAGGATTCGTTTTAAAATTGTTTTCAGAATTCGCGGAGTGTGTTACATTTTTTCTTCTTTATGATTTCCAAATCTTTTCTCAAATTACAATTTAAATTAGTTCTTTAGTTTTTTTTTTGTTTTTCTGA